CATGTAATAAAAGAATAAACTAAAGTATTTAAGGAAGAGTTCACTTCAAAATGAAAATTCTGTCATCATTTACTCTCCGTCAAGTTGTTCCGAACTGTTATTCTGCCATGCTGATGTCCTCCTGCCTGTCTGGATTATTGGTATTCTGCAGTTTCCTGCTGCATATGTACCTCTTGATCCTGCATCACCACCTCTGTGCACCATGAGAATGTTGAATGAGAATGTAGTATTTTTTTCTACTGAACATAGAGAAGATATTTTGAAGAATGTCAGTAACTCACCGTTGATGGACACATTGACTCCCATAGCAGACTGATCTCATGAAGTAGCGTGTGTATGACACACCAATTCGTATTTCCATTTTTGGCGTGCTATCAAGATGCATAATCGCTTTTCAGCGTGTTTATGAACGCCGTTGACTTAACGTTATATAAATATATGACTTACCTCAACCCCGTCCCTAAACCTACCCGTCACTGGGGTTAATGTCATTTATGACTGGAGATTTGACGGCATGTACAGACACGCGGAATCACTCGGACGTTAATGGCGTAGACATACACGCGGATAGCTCAAAATGCGTAGAAATAACACGCCACTTGACTCGACAGTGGCGTGTATGTTTACGCAAAAGTCATGATGTCATGTTGCCCATAGTAGAAAAACCATTGACTCGAGTCCATCGACTGTTCGGTTCCATTCTTCAGAATATCTTCAGTGTTCAGCAGAAGAGAGAAACTCACACAGGTTTGGAACAGCTGGACGACTAACGATTTTCATTTTGAGGTGAACGACTCCTTTAAGTTCCACACAGTTCCCATCCCTATAAGTGTTTGTAGTGCAAGCGTGTACATGTCAGAGTGATGTCGCTTCTTCTCTTTCTTCAGAGTGAAAATCCCCCATCAGTCTTCAGTGCTGAACGGTGAGTGTGTTACAAGCTTATTCACTTTTACATTACAAAAGAATATTTTTTTTTACATCTAAAATAAAATTGAGTCTGAATGCACTGTATGTAATGTAATTAATATTATAATAATGATACATTATATTTAAAAATACTTTTTTTTTTAAAGAAATCAATACCTTTTTAAATTGAGGATGCAAGCATGATTATAATATTACAAATGGCTGTTACAAAATTACAAAAATACAGCATTCAAGTCGCCTTCATTTAAACAGCAACTTTATACATACTTTAAACAATATGGACTGTTTCAAATCAGCTTTACAGTGATAATAGGAAATTACAGTAAGTTTAGGCTTCACAGCAGCTCTAGAATAAAGTTATTGTCCAGCTAACGATAGTTTTGATTGATTCACTTTTTGTTTTAAGCCTCTCTGTATGCACTCGAGCTCTCTTTCCATGAAATGCGAAATACCACTAGTTTTGTTTTAACATTCAACATTATTTATTTAACATTCATTTATTTATAAGTATTTATTTAGTACTTTTAAGTAATCTGTAACAAAGTCTCAAAAAAGGTCCACATTTTAGGTCAATAAACAAATCCTTCATGTCTATTTATCCATGAATAATACTTCAAACTGGACAGAGACACTCTACTGCCGTTTCCACACCTCCTTATGCTGCACAATTGACATCTTTAACATCTCAAGAAATGTTTTTAGTACCAAATCAGCACTTTAGAATGATTACTTACGGATTATTGAACCTATCTAAACGCTGCTGGAAAACAGGCTTTGAATTAGCATTTAAAGGTTAGAACTTCGTTTAAAGTGTGTTTTTACTGTCGTTGATGTATTGTCTTGTGGTTTATGTGTTCTGTGTGCAGCGGGATGCCGTCTCCTCCCATCACCCCTGTGGTGAAGACTCGTGTTCATCAGGACACGGGCCGTCCCCTGTCATCAGACTATGTGCCGTACGTGCGCTCACACGAGGTGTACCAGCTGGACCCGCTCTCCAGACCCGACACACACGAAGCCCAGAACAGAGTCCACACAGGTCAGTAAACACATGCCTTACCCACAATTCTCTAGGACTGCTGTCTTTATGACAAATACTAATTCAGTGTGGATGATGAAATTGATGAGTTGCAGATATATCAGCCGTGTTCACCCACAAACTAGATTTAGTTGATCTTTATGTCCCAAACCATGTGTCTGACTTCTTCAGTGGACACAGGAGGAGACTCTGTGAAGATCTTCTGTTCTTCACCATACAGCGGTGTTCACTTTCTCATAAAAGGAAATCACATGACCTGTGCACTGTAGTCTTCTGGAATACAATGAGTCATTATTCACAGAAAATCTTTCCAAATAATCATCGGTTCTGCATATTAATATAACTAGTTTGTTCAAAGGTCTGTTTTGAGTCTTGATGGGAACACCATATTTCTGGCTTTGTAACTTTTTCTAAAAGTAACTAAAAGTTACTGAAACAGTTATGGTGCTTTTTTTCTTTTGTAGAGCTTTTTGTGTGAGTGATTGTGACTGTTGTAGAGCGAGTTGTAGGTTTGTGATTGTGTTGTGTGTCTCCGCAGGGCTGGTCCCGCACGAGCCCGGCGCTCCTGAAAGCACTGAGCGACAGCAGGCTATCCTGAAGGGTCTGTCCCAGTTACGGCAGGTAATGCTCGAGATTACGCCTTCCCTCTCTCTGCAGTTAAACACATCCTTCAGATGAGACGTTAAGTCTCTGTGGTCATTAAGATCCTGAGATGTTCTTTGAAAAAGAGTAGGGGTGTAACCCTGGCCAAATCTGTCCATCATGGCCTCTCCATACACTGATTGGCTTCATCACCGTTTATTAGCAAGAGTTTTTTTTTTGTAATGATATCTTACACATTTTCAGAACTAAACTGTAAGCTCTAAACACAGTGTCTCTTTCCCATAACATTTCGTTCATGCTTCAAAACCTGGTGATAGTGTCTATAAAATAAACCGTGTGTTTGTCATCGTGAGCCACAGGTCAAACTGTGTAGATGCTCCTGTACATTGGTTATGTACAAATTAATGTTTTTTTCCTTTATTTTCATTGTTGACAGTATAATGTACACTCACCGGCCACTTTATTAGGTACACCTGTCCAACTGCTCGTTAACACTTAATTTCTAAGCAGCCAATCACATGGCGGCAACTCAGTGCATTTAGGCATGTAGACATGGTCAAGACAATCTCCTGCAGTTCAAACCGAGCATCAGTATGGGGAAGAAAGGTGATTTGAGTGACTTTGAACGTGGCATGATTGTTGGTGCCAGAAGGGCTGGGTCTGAGTATTTCAGAAACTGCTAATCTACTGGGATTTTCACGCACAACCATCTCTAGGGTTTACAGAGAATGGTCCGAAAAAGAAAAAACATCCAGTGAGCGGCAGTTCTGTGGGCGGAAATGCCTTGTTGATGCCAGAGGTCAGAGGAGAATGGCCAGACTGGTTCGAGCTGATAGAAGGGCAACAGTGACTCAAATAACCACCCGTTACAACCAAGGTGGGCAGAAGAGCATCTCTGAACGCACAGTACGTCGAACTTTGAGGCAGATGGGCTACAGCAGCAGAAGACCACACCGGGTGCCACTCCTTTCAGCTAAGAACAGGAAACTGAGGCTACAATTTGCACAAGCTCATCGAAATTGGACAATAGAAGATTGGAAAAACGTTGCCTGGTCTGATGAGTCTCGATTTCTGCTGCGACATTCGGATGGTAGGGTCAGAATTTGGCGTCTACAACATGAAAGCATGGATCCATCCTGCCTTGTATCAACGGTTCAGGCTGGTGGTGGTGGTGTCATGGTGTGGGGAATATTTTCTTGGCACTCTTTGGGCCCCTTGGTACCAATTGAGCATCGTTGCAACGCCACAGCCTACCTGAGTATTGTTGCTGACCATGTCCATCCCTTTATGACCACAATGTACCCAACTTCTGATGGCTACTTTCAGCAGGATAATGCGCCATGTCATAAAGCTGGAATCATCTCAGACTGGTTTCTTGAACATGACAATGAGTTCGCTGTACTCAAATGGCCTCCACAGTCACCAGATCTCAATCCAATAGAGCATCTTTGGGATGTGGTGGAATGGGAGATTCGCATCATGGATGTGCAGCCGACAAATCTGCGGCAACTGTGTGATGCCATCATGTCAATATGGACCAAACTCCCTGAGGAATGCTTCCAGCACCTTGTTGAATCTATGCCACGAAGAATTGAGGCAGTTCTGAAGGCAAAAGGGGGTCCAACCCGTTACTAGCATGGGGTACCTAATAAAGTGGCCGGTGAGTGTACATAACTGAGAGTTGTGTGTATCACACTGAGTGTTTTAGGTAATAAAGTTGTGTACTACAGTAACAGTACAGTTATTTTGCAGAAATGTTATGTAAGTAATGTCTTTCTCAAACACATACAGTACAAATCTTCCTATTGTTCGTCCATGACAAGAATTTTCAGTTAATATGCAACACATTTCTACAAAAATACAAAAATGTGAGTGCAGATGGAGTGTGGAACGGCTGGAGCTGCTGTGATCAGAGTGCGCCCATTACAACGGCTTGCCAATGTAGGAGACATTACAGAATATAATGTCCTATGTGATCTGAGATCTGAACTCTATTGGAGAACTGAGCCACAGTGACGAGGACACACAAGTCTGTGTAATTGTGTTGTACGGACTGCAGTGTTGAAGCTCACGAATGAAATGTGTGTGTTGTATTCCAGGCGCTGCTGCAGAGACAGAGAGAGCTGGAACCCAGTTTATCCCCAGCACTGCACACACAACACACACACCACTTCTCACCGTTCAGACCTGTGTGAGCCGAAGCGTTGACGACAGGAATTCATTTCATTGTGGTTTCAATGAAACTGGCTTAGATCATAGATGTGTAATACATCAGTGTCTGGGGGGATTTTATGGCTTGAATGTGATGTTTATTGTGAATTACTCTTATTTAAAACCTTTTAAATAAAAAAACTTGAATTTGCTCAACTTGCGTCACATACTTCTCCACCCTGACTAAAACACACCTCCGAATATGAACATTCATTTACAAAGATTGGTTGTAAAGTTGTTTAATGTTAATCGGCTTTATAAAAAATAATACTAAAACCAAGGCCTTGAGCTTTTTCACAAAAGGGGAAAGAAACCAACATGTTCAGCCCGACCAACATGCAAAAGCAAAATACAAAATATGTTTTCTGAAAAATATGAAATGAATCACAACCTGGAACCGTGTCATTTCTCTCATATTGTACAAAAGACAAACTGAGATTTTCAGCTGTAAACGTGTTAAACTATCTACACACACACACTGGGGGTTCACCAGCTCCCGAAGCCTCCCCCGTCGGGACGGTGTGCGTCTCTCTGCCAGTTCTGGAGGAACGGGGCACTCTGGATCTGCTGGACGTTGCTGCCGAAGCGGGCCGCCCACAGGCCCGGCGATAAGGACCCTTGAGCCGAGCTGTGCCACGCCATCGGAACGCTGTTATTGGGCAGGAGCCCTCTCCAGGCGGGAGGTCCCACCACACCCAGGCCATTGGAGACCGTGCAGTTCAGAAGAGGGTGTCCGAACCCAGACGCAAACCCCATCATGGCTTGATGTGTGGCGGACATGAAGCCAGAACCCTGCAGTCCTGGGTAAAAACCGCCCATGCCATATCTAGGTGTGGAAAGGAAACTGATCGGGGGGGTCCCCAAAACACTGGACGCTTGACCACCCTCGGCTTTCCTCGCAGTCATGCCGGACCGCGTGTCTATGACCGGGATCGGGCTGGTTTGCGCCGCAGGGTCTGGGTTATTGTTTTCAGGGATTGGTGCGGCCGGTGTGAGGACACACACCGATCCTCCTTGATGGTCCGCATCGGCGCTAGCTTCAACACGAGATGGAGCCGGGGCGGCGGGTTCAGGCGGTGGGTCGTGGGTGTCCGAGGAGAAATCACACAGATCGCCGAGGAAGCTTTGGTGAGTATCCACTCGAAAAGACGTTTCTAAAGCGTCGCCTGCGTCACACTGCGCGAGCATCCTGGAAGCCTTGAACTGAGAGATTGCTTCGCTGAGAGCTTTAAAGTCCAACTCTTTGGGCGTGTCGCTGGTTTCGGTGTCCGCTGGGTGTTGATGAAGAGCGGGTTCAGAGGCGGGAGGGAACGGGGACGGCTGATGGTCTGTAACAACATGGCTCAACTGAGTGTTACCTGAAGAGTCCTGATCCGAGTCCATGGACATGCTATCATCTCTCACTACAGGGACAAGAGAGAGGTTACAGGCCATCAACAGTCAGAACTTACACTCGGTGCAACATTTCAATGCATAGTAGGCAGTCAACTGGTTCTCAACCATCATATAAAATCTGATCCTCTAAAAACTGATCATTACAGACACAACCCTGTGTTCCTGAGGAACAGATTATAGCACTGAATGAGGATTCTGACAACTTCATTCTCCAAACACAATACATCGGTCTGTGCGAGTATAGACATCCCTATCTTTACTGTCAGCTGTGTTAATGAGAGGAAACTGCTTCAGTCATGAGTTTCTCCAGCCCTGGACAAAACACTTCCAACGTATCTTATTTAAAGCGTCTCCATAAATTTCAAACAATCAAGTGACTGAAAATGCCAAGAAAAACTCCAACAGGCTCTAAACACAGGTCAAGTATATGATGTCACCTGCACTAAAAAATGCAGGGTTGTTTTAACCCAATTTTGGGTCAAATATGGACAAACCCATATTTAAATAACATTTTAACCCAATGTTTGAGTTTGTCCATATTTGACCCAAAATCGGGTTAAAACAACCCAGCATTTTTTAAAGTGTGCTATAAAAGACTTAAAGGTATAGCGGAGGATCTTTCTGAACTTTAGAGAAGACCCGCCCTCTCCAATTTTTAAAAAAAATGCACATGCACAAACACAACACTCTTGCTCCCGAGAGGGAATTACGCCTTGCACAATTATGTTGCAAATTATAAACTAACTCAAAAACATTCATAAAAAAGACAACATGTTAAATGCCCTTCCGTGTTTTAATTACTTATTATACTGATCGATTGAGTGACCGAGGACTCAAGACATGATATGTACAACCCTGGATCACACGAAATTCGTTCTGAGGAAACTATTTTGCAAATCGCAATTACGTTACATAGCAACATATAAGCAGTGCTATTACATTGGTCCTTAACCTAATATGTCTCATTGTTAATACGTAGGTATTAATACGTTATTTTTATACATAGTTGCATATGTAATGGAGAAGTAGCTTGTTGCATTTGTGTAATAATAAACACACAAGGTTTTAGAATATTTCAGCATGATACCATTTACCATTTGGTCAAAAGGCTACTTTAGAAAAATTGAGATGCTTACCGTGTCTATGCAGTGCATGAGTTGTGCCAGGGCTAGCATTGCTATGTAGCTTGCATTAACTTTTACTAGTGATTTTAAATGGATTTCTCCAAATAGCATGACAAACTTTACCCGTCTAGTAGAATCTTTGCGGCATCAGTGAGAAGCCCAACCTGTGCTTTTAGCGCACGCCAGCGTGTGATATACAACCAAAATCACTCTGGTCTTGTTTCTAAATTCTGCGGCCTTTCTCTTATCATACACTTCGTAAACATTTTTTCTCTTTCGACCCTCAGCCATTTTCAAAGGAATGGCTGAAACCGTAACTCTGACATAATACACCTGAAAGTGAAAACTACATAGGGATGAGCATGTACTACGGCCTTACGTAAACATATCACCAGAATGATTGACACTTAGGTGGACCAATAGTATAGACTACCCACCCGGAAAAAGAAAATCCTCCGCTATACCTTTAAGGGACTCTAAAATTGCAACAATCAAGCTTAACACAACTTGGACACATGACAAAAAAAACAAAAAAACAATGGCTGCCAGCATGTTGGTGGACAAAATAAATAACCAGATTCAATATTCTTGGCCAATATTTATAACGCGAAAACAACTTTACGAACCACAAAATGAATTGTAATTGGTTTAAAACATGTCCATTATAGAGGAGTTATGAGCATCTGTCGTCTGCTTTAGTCCTGCTGATTTTGCAAATAAATAAATCAGAGCAAGTTTAAAGAAAAATGGAGATAACGTTTTATCAAAATACATTTATTGGAAGAATTTTATATACACATTTGACTTTTTTGCTAACCAGATACAAAAGATGTTATTAATGCCAGTTCACTGTATTTTAGGGGTTATTTTGGGGTTTGGGGTTTTTGGTTGGAACAGTTACAAAGGTCAGGTTACAAATACAAACACTTTTCTGTATTTACACACTAAAATAAAACACTTCTTTACTCAGTGTTTTACATCCGACTAATCAAATCTTCAGACAACGGTCTTCACACCGGCAAAGGGTTACACACAGGGTCTAAACACACACACACACACTCCTGAGCCAAGAGTCTGAAACGGCTTTGGACAAGTAAATGAAACACGTTGTTATGAGTGTTGGGCAACCTGGCGCATGTTCTTCCTTGGTTTGGTTCGTAAGGCGTATATGAACACCGCTAGTATCACAATAATCTGTTCCAGAAGTGCAGTTTATCAGTGGACATTGACAGGTGAACTGTGTGTTGCCCTGTGGAAGTGAACCAAACCAAAGAAAAAAATGCCACATGATAATTTAAAGGGGGGGTTGACTGCGATTTCACTTTTTTCATTTTGAATAGTGTGTAATGTTGCTGTTGGTGGATGAACAGTATCTGCAAAGTTGCAGCGCTGAAAGTTCAGTGTAAGCAGAGATATCATCTTTTAAAAACCAGGAAGTATATTGCCTACAAAAACGACTCGATTGGGACTACAGCTGGGTTATGGTACATCACTAACCCGCACATTTGCATCAGAAAATGCAGAAAATGGCATGCGCATATTTCTGAGGCATGTTGACTCGTCGAGTGTGTTCATCCCGCTGTCAGGTCTTCTGTGTTCGGGCTTCCCACGGATGCTGTACTTCGTCAACAATGGATACAATTTCTGTTTGATTATGTTCCTGAAAGTGACGATCGTAATCTAGCTCTCTGTGCTGCGCATTTACGAGAGACAGCTTCCAGAATCTCCACGAGTTCAACAAGAAACTGTTACTAAAACATGAAGCAGTTCCAACTTTAAAACCAGAGGCAGCAGTTGTTGGGCCACAACCTGTAAGTAGGCTAAGACTTAATCATTTTAAATGTATTTGCATGTATAATTTCAGACGTAGCCTTGTGTTTTATTTTTTTCAAATGCCAGCGCTGGCTTTATAGCCACTACTAGTTAGCCTATGCTATTTTGTGTCTACGACAAACGCGTACAAACATTATGGACCTGAATTTTCTATAAGTACTAATGTTTTAAACGTATTTTTCATGTATATATGCTTTATGACGTTATTTTCGATTTGATCAAGAACGTAAACATGCCAACGCTGTTTGAGTATAACATTAGTAGCCAGTCAGTTGCTATTGTTGCCAGTCAGATGCTAATAAACGTGTATAAAGTTAAAAAATATAGCAAATTATCATTCAGAAACTTTTATTAAGAGCCGTGTGTGGTGAGGTTCTGCTTGACTCTCTTCATCGCCGCTTTCACGGTCTGATTCTGCCTCAAACTGATACTGCAGTTCGACACATATTTACATCTGGACCGGAGCTCATGACATTTCGCCCGTAAAGGTAATGGGCGTTAAACCTTCAGGACAACGTGAGCGACAGTTTAGCCAATCACAACACACCGGGCCAAACTAACCAATCTGAGCCCACTACGTGTTTCTGAGGGAGTTTTATCATAGAATCAGGAAGTCAACCGCTCGTTCAGGGGACAGAGGAGAGCTGAAAATAAAGGTGAAGTTTATGAAAAATAAGACTTTTAAAAAAAGAAAAACCACAATAACATGTTATATTGCACCCCATAAATACAATCATGCAAAGAAAAAAAGCAGTCAACCCCCCTCCCCCCTCCCTTTAAGTCTGTTTCAGAACAAAGCAAAAGGTCTACTAAAGGAAACAGTAGTTTATCGCCACAAATCTATCTGGGATGCCGTTTCTTGTCAATGTATACTTTGTATCTAAAGGGGCTATATTTAAGAACGCTTATATATTCATTGCTTTTTTGTTGCCAATGTGTGAACAGCTTGGAACGAAACTTAAAATGAGACCTGGCTTTTTCTATGAAAGCCTGTAGACTTGATTTTCCCGTCAAGTCTTTCTCATAAACATCATGTGGCGTAAACGTGCGCTCCTGAGGCCTTCTCTACCAACCGCTCTGCTTGGTAAATGCAATGTTTCATGGTGAAAGAGTGAGGATTCATTTAAACTACAGTTTCACCCAGCGTAACAGTCATTTTAACCAACCCTTCGCAGGGAGTTTGATTGACAGGCAATCTGACCAATCATTATCCGCCACAAAGCAGTCAGGAGAGTTCTCTCTGCTCTGTGATGTATCTTGTACATGATGTGTGACGTGAGAGCGGCTTCTTAAGTGAAGAATGATAACTTATTTATCGAGTGTAATCGAGGCCTTGCTCAGTCTCTAGTGCGTTACGAGCACTGTTCACTCAACGCCCAGTGGTGGCGCTAATAACACAGGTTTCTGAATCCTACATATAGCCCCTTTAAATACCAAAATGAATATATAAGGAAGAAATTCACAACATCTTAACATTTCTGTTGTTGGCTCACCTCGTATGAAAACATTTAACCCCCATTCTTACTGGGACAGAAAAAGTGATAAAAAATATATGATACAGTTTCCAGGTACTAAAAGTGTGACATTCATTGGCTAGTGTGGTTACAAAAACGGCATGTTTTTTTTTTTTTCAGCGGTAATGTATACAAAAGACCTGCTATCCCAAAGGTAAACAAGATTACTATTGGGTGTTCATCCACGTGTGTGGTTGTTATCACGGCATAATGTTCAGTACCTCTTTTAACTTTCAGAAAACACCATTTTCGATTTTGATTGTTCATCAGTGCATTTCCTTGACGTGGAGTCACTGCGTTTTAGCTGGCCTCGCCTCTACGCTGAATAATAAAGGTCGTTCAGGATCACGGTGGCAGCAGATCGACTGGTTTAGACTGGGAAACTCAGCGAGACGTGTAGTTTGATGTTGTCAGATGGGTTTACCACAGAATCACTTACATGACGCTGGATCAGGAGTGGGGTAAGTCTCCACAGGCGGGACGCTGGCCACGGCCTCTCCACTGGCTAAACTGCTTATCACAAACTTTACGTCGTCAACATTGGCGATGATGATGCCACTGCTCGAGTACTGGGGGAACATCTCGAACTGGAAGCCTGTTGGACAGGATTTAAAGAAACGTTACTATCCTTACAAGCACAAGTCACTGATTCGATATCCAGAAATCACACTCGAATATACCTTTAGATAAGAATACATAAAAACATTTTAATAAAGCCTCTGGTTGTAGAGCACTAATTATGTATCAATACTGCCATAGATGAGTGATGGACACTGAGACACATCAGGCTTGAAGTTGTGGCTCTTCAAGTACAATTTGAGCTTCTCTAAATACACCCAATGTGACACAGTACACTCATAAAAGGTCAAAGAGCACCTGTGAGAAATATCAGGTGTCGCTGCTTGACGAATCTCGCCTGCAGATCCACCAGACAGCCGAGGTCCGGTGCTCTTCGTGACGGAGCGTCACACTCGTGGTACGACAGGATCTCCACAATGTGCCTCTTCTCATAAGCCGTGAGGATCTCGTACAAGTTCAAGGCATCCACTTTGAGCCTGGAGACAGAGGCAGCATCACATGGTCATGGTGGGATCGTGCAGTGTGTTAGTACTGTGAAAGGGTGAGGGGTCAAACCTGCTGTGCTCTCGGAGCTTCTTGTGTGATTTGAAGTGTATCCTCCACCTCCAGGGGCTCTGAGGAGAGTTCAGCCGCTCGATGTGCTCGAGGATATCTCGAAGCTTCTCTGGAAACAGACACACACGCATGTAAAAAGTTGAACAAACCTAATCTCAATAACAAGCCCTGTTTTCCAGCGCAGGAACCAGGGACTTTGGGCTTGACTCGGTGTGTTTCCACCGCAGGAACTAGTCTCTAAATGAAGCTCCTGTAAATATTTCCTCCTCCTGCTTGGGAAGTAGGGTGACCACCTGCTTATAAGCCCAAGGGGGGACAAGGGGTATGTTTCTGAGGGACAATGTTGGACACTGCTTGGCGCGGCGGTGCCCCCACCCCACGGACTGATAGTGGTTTACCCATATCTAGGATTGTTACTATTGCCTTACTGTTTGTACATGAATAATTGTTCAAAAAAAAAAAAAAGCACATACCTTAGCACATACATTAATAATGCCCTATTCCCTAAACATGTGTAATTGCTGATATATGCTCATGAATAGGCCAACCAATGTGTATTTTTTTCTAAATAAAGATGAATATTTTGAATATTCAATGAATTGACAGCACTTCCACTTACGATTTACTTTAGCTATTTAATTTTATTTATTTTTTATTACAATTAATTCACTTTAAATCAATAAAAATATAAAATTATAGGATTAACAGGAATTATAGTTGCTCAACACCACAGGAACAGTTTAAAAAAAGTCGAAAAAAAAGTCTAAACTCACAACTCCAGAGGTTCACGGAACAAGAAGGTGCGCTGTCATGACAACAATGAAAAAGTTGACATCAACCTAGTCAGCAGGTCACGTGGGAGTGGCAACCAGTGTTGGGGAAGTTCACTTTCTACATGAACTAGTTGTTCAGTTCACACATTTTAAAATGAACTAGTTCAGTTCAAAGATTTTCCCATCTTCACCGACCTCTTTATAAAATCCGTTTAAATTATCATACGACGCCTTTGTCGACGGCGGCCGCGGTGGCTTGTGTTGCCAGATTGGGTGTTTTTTTCGCTACATATTAAGCCCTGTTTAGGGTGAGTTTTAGCCGGGTTTTCGCCTGAAAGGCTCTATAGAAATCTGGCACCCCATTGAACGAAGTTAAACTGAGAGAGCGTGCGTTCACAGACACCAGAATGAACGAGTTCACACGTTCAGCAGGACAGGCAGTAAAACAATACGTTCAGTTCACCCAAAATATGAACAAGTTCATGAACGTGAACGTGTACAGGCACAACGTTTGGCTGCCTGGGCCTCGAGGATATAGAGTGACCGACTTTTTTTTTTTGAGCAAGCATTGATTATGCGTTGACACGGTCTCAATTTGCGGAACGCATGAATTGGGCTTCAAACGCTGTGCGGGACGGGTGGTCACCCTATTGGGAAGTAGTACTTCTCAAAGTTCAGAAACTTTCGGGGGAGGGACTTGAGCGTTGAACATGCTGATTGGTTGTGTTTCATGCCAAAATTTATTTCAACCACCATTTTTTAAAGTCTGTTGCGAGAGTTGTTTGCTATTCGAATCAACAAAGGAGTTTAAAAACTACGACCAATGACGTGGTTCAGGCTTTATTAAGCTTAAATCCAGCGGGAAATGTAAAGTTGCACACAATCCAACCGTTCTCTCGACGCAAACTTTAAAAATGCGAACCTGTGAGAAAGCTGATGGCGTCCACATACGTGTTAAGAGTTCATTCTGTAGGTATGCAACTACTTATCTGGCCGTAAAATGTATAATACAGAATTTTATCACGTTAACCGAAATTATTCCGACAATGATTATCTGTACAGAGGACAAGCGGCCTGGGACACATTGCTCCGGGTACCTGCGGTGATGACGGCTGGGTTCAACACGTGCTCGTCGGACACAATGAAGCCCCCGGACTGGAACAGCTCATTGTAGGTGTGGTTCTGGATGTCACTCAGATTGTCTACGCCAGCAAAGCTCACAGAGGGATGCTTCTTCAGCGCAACCAAAGAAGGGATCTATGGGTGTAAAACACAACCTTCAGTTTATGGTTCCCAAATCCAAATCCGCTTTGAGTGCTGAGGCTCTGTGACGTACCTTGTGCACCTGTGTGGCGATGTCCATATTCGGGATGATGACCAGTAGTTTATCTTGACTATTGCTTTTCTCGAGGAAAGCCTGAGGATTACACTCCAAATCCCCCAACTTTTTCAAATATTCCTGTTACAAATGTGAGTATAAGGTTAGCATGCTTCCCGATCTCTGGGCTACTTGAAGGAGTAGTTCACTTTTAAAAAAAACTTTTGCTGATAATTGACTCACCCCCATGTCATCCAAGATGTCCATGTCTTTCTTTCTTCAGTCGAAAAGAAATTAAGGTTTTTGATAAAAACATTCCAGGATTTTTATCCATATAATGGACTTCAATGGGAACCAAACGGTTCAAGGTCCAAAAGACACTTTCAGTGCAAACTGTTCAAAGGGCTTTAAACGATTCCAGACGATGAATAAGGGTCTTATCAAGCAAAATGATCTCTCATTTAATGCTCTGTTCGTGACTCTCCTGTTCGAACTCGTTCATCAAAATGAAAGAATTTTTTTCAGAGTCAATTCGTTCATTTCGTTCGTTAAATGAACCAAATGACTCGAAAAAAAGATTAGTTCATTTTCATTCACTTGGACCTTGAACCGTTTGGTTCCCATTGAAGTCCATTATATGGAGAAAATCCTGAAATGTTTTCATCAAAAACCTTAATTTCTTTTCGACAAGAATGAAAGACGTGGACATCTTGGATGACATGGGGGTGAGTAAATTATTAGCAAAAGTTTTTTTTAAAGTAAACTACTCCTTTAAGACTAAACATCCATCTCGATTCGTTTAACGCGTGACAGTCAGTTTCACCAACATTGAAGCAACAATTCCACATTTTTCATTTCTAAAGCTACGGTCAGACTTTCAGTCCAAATATTCGTTTTTTTTTGTGCATATCCGATTGAAATCTATGTGAACGCCCAAAAATCACATGAAATGTGTAAATGTCACTATATCGCTATACAAAAATCCAACAACATGCATAGTGGATAGTGTCTCTGTACTGTGTATAATTCGCCCAAAACTATGTAAATTTTCAGAGTTTGAATAGTTCTACAGTAAACTACTGTATAATGCATTACTGTATACTGTATATAATGTTGAGTATAATGCAGTGGAGGAATATTCGTGTGCCTGATAATGCCAAATATCTGATGTTGTAATATATCTAGTCAGTGAAAGAGTGCAAACATATTCGTCTATAATAATTCTGTATTTTCATCTTCAGAATCATATTTTTATGCTGGTGTCTCTATTGTCCTGTGCTTTGGTCCAAGCCTAATCATTAAACACACAATTTAATACCAAATTTACCATTTTAAATCAACAGTACATTTTTTGTTAACCTTATATGACTGTATATGTCTTGGAGTATTGCAATAATCTAGTATCGCGAGTTCAGTATCGTGATATGTATCGAATCGTGACTTGAGGGATCCCCCCACTGCATTATTATCATTATATTCAACATTATATACAGTAGTTTAATTTAGGACTGAAACTAGAAATGTTATTTTGGGGGAACTACAGTACACACAATACATATCGTCATCTACGATACTAGTCGCATTTATGTATTGCGAAGTATTGTGACGCCAACATCACTGGCACTGAAACCAATGCAGATATTCCAGGAATCTGAAGAGCGGCATGGACACACACTTCAGATGTGAACAGTTGCATGACAACAGTGTGGACGTCAATAATTTCAGATCAGGTTCCTATGGGGTTTGGACTGACGGTGTGACCGTAGTGTAACTGGCTAAACACTAAACACAGGTGTCAAGCGGCCCAGACAACATCTGTGCCACACTCTTCACACACGTGTACCTTTATTTCCCAGCAGACGTCGCTCTCCTCCTCCTCGTTGGTGGAATGGATGTAGAAGTGAACCGAGTTCTTCTGAACCCCTTTGAGGATCTCCACCAGGTTACTGATGACCTCCGGCTGCAGCTGATGGATGATGGAGCTGAGCGCGTGCTCCATCGGGATCTCTTCAGTGAGAGTGTGTGCGCGCTCCATCGGGACATCTTCAGGGAGTGTGTGTACGTGGGCCATCGGGACGTCATCAGTGTGTGTGTGGGCCATCTCCGTAGTCTCCGGACCCCCGTTCATCTCCGCAAGAGCACTGGTGCTGTTGGCTTCCTGGGTCTGGCTCTCGGAGTCCTGCGGCCACAGCGTTCGGGGAGGCTCGTGGACATCACCCGGGTGATGTGGCGTCAGTGAGTCCGGTAGGGCGCTAGAAGGGGAACACGGCCTCAGAAACGACTCAAAAGTGGTGGTCGAAGGCGAGGAAGCACAAGGATAGATGCTGGAGGACGTATCAGGGACATTTGAGGTAACTTCAGGTGCAGAAGTGGACGAAGACACGAGTTCCTGAGCGGAGCGGGCTCCACTGGCACTCTGGGAGTCTATGAACTCCTTCAGGCTGTCCTGGAAAGAGCTGATGTAGTTGGTGACAGGGAAGGGTGTGTGGAAGTTTGAGATGTAATCAGAGAGTGGCAGGACTGGAGTCTTGAGCGGTCCTCGCGAGCCCAGAGCGCTTAAACTCGAGACGTAATAAATGTGGCTGTTCCTCAGGAGCTGCTCGACCTCACAGGAGAAGCCTGAGATCTGCTCGTCCACTATGAGGTCGACGCCGCCGGGCCCCAGCGCCGGGTCAGCAGGAGTGTGGCTCTCAGCTCCCGCGGCCGCAGGAACGGGCTCGTCCTCCTCTGCCGCGTCGGCAGGATCCTCCAGATCGCAGGCGGTGTTGCTGCTGTCGGGCTGGTAGGCGGGCGACAGCTCCTTCTTGTCAGGTGTGGTGTGTGTGGACACGACTGGGCTCTGGACGAAGCGGGGGTCTTCAGGGTAGTCCATCTGTCTCTGGGAATATCGCTCCGTTTTCAGACCTAAGTGTTTTGAAAAAAATTAAGATTCGTATGTAAACTTTCAAATGTAATCCTCAGCAAAAATGTTTTTAAAGGAGTAGTTCACTTTTTTAAAAAAAAAACTTTTGCAGATAATTTACTCACCCCCCATGTCATCCAAGATGTCCATGTCTTTCTTTCTTCAGTCGAAAAGAAATGAAAACATTTAAAGATTTTCTCCATTTAATGGCCTTCAATGGGGACCAAACAGTTCACGGTCCAAAAGACAGTTTCAGTGCAAACTGTTCAAAGGGTTCAAACTGTTCTTTAAATGACACCAGACGATGAATAAGGGTCTTATCAAGTGAAACGATCACTCATTTAATAAATAAATAACTAAGTTTAAGTTTTATAAGCTCAAATGGTCACCTTGCTCTGTTCTGTGATGCACGTTTGTGACTCTCCTTTTTGAACTCGTTCATCAAAATGAACAAATCTTTTTCCAAATCAATTCGTTCATTTTGTTCGTTGAATGAGCCAAATGACTTAAAAAAGATTCGTTCATTTTGATAAAACTTACTGATAAACTAAAAAGATAAAGATAAAAGATATAAGATAAAACTCTTATAAAACTTAAACTTTGTTATTTATTTATTAAATGAGCGATCGTTTCACTTGATAAGACCCTTATTCATCGTCTGGAGTCGTTTAAAGCCCTTTGAATAGTTTGCACTGAAACTGTCTTTTGGACCTTGAACCGTTTGGTTCCCATTGAAGTCCATTATATGGAGAAAATCCTGGAATGTTTTCATCAAAAACCTTAATTTCTTTTCGACTGAAGAAAGAAAGACATGGACATCTTGGATGTCATGGGGGTGAGTAAATTATCAGCAAAAGTTTGTTTAAGTCAAGTCATTTACAGCACAGAGTGTTTCAAAGCAGCTTTACAGATAACAGGAAAATATTGCAAAAAAGATTGTTTCCAGAAAAAAATAGTGTCACAGTCCAGCTTAAAGGTCCCCTGACATGAAATTTTCATTTTCTGAGGTTTTTACATTAATACATTAATATGAGTTCCCCTAGACTGTTTTTGGTCCCCTCGTGTCTAGAATTTTCAATCGGTGTAAACCAACCATTTTTATTTATTTATTTTTTTTGCATCTCAGACACGCTGATCTAGAATCTCCCCCTATATAACGTCATATAGGGGAAAGGTTACTCTGCTTTCTGTGCTTTCCCCGCCCAGAGACCGACCATGAGAAAACCAAACGAGCTAGGAACAGGAAGTACGAACACGCGCAGGCGTGGTTTTATTTTTTCCTAGAGAAATAGCTTTGAGATTTGAGTTTTTCCTTAAGAAATATCATGGCTTGCAAACGAGCGAAGCATGGCAGTTGCTCAGTGTTCAGATGTACAAATGAACACAAAAGTATTTTTTAGTTCCTTCATCCGCGCCTCTGAAGAAACCCAACTCTCAAAGTTTTGCATGGTCCAACAGGCAGAAGACAGGTTCGTTCTCTCAAAATCGTTCGATACTGTTTATGCATCAGTAAGTCAAGCCAGACTATTATCAACTTCACATCGTTTCATTGAGTAGGATAAAAATAATCTTATTTAAACAAAGTGTTTAGCAGGATTGATATTCTAAACGGTAAGCACGTGCTGCTTTGTTTACGTTATGTGTATCTGCAGCTGGCAGCGTTGGTTTTCCTTTTTGAATGATGAATATGGACTAATATATATATATATATATATATATATATATAATATATCTGCAGAAATAGACAGTTGGCTCATTAAATACAGGCGCAGAACGCACATTCTAGCTGACAGTCGGCTGCAGTTCTCTCGGTGAGTTCAAGTGCAGCTTTTTACCTCGACGAGAGCGGACGAGTTCCGGGTTTTAGAGAGAACAGAAACTGCGTTACACTGCACAACGAAGCTCTTGCTGTACATCATCGTGTCTGCATTGGTGAAAGCAGGGAGTGCAGAAACTTCGTTATACAATAAGATCTTCATTCTCGCGATCGACAGACTGTCATCTGCTGCTCATCACAGCAACATTTTATGTGATGAGAATCTAAATACTTCAAAAACTTCTCACGAATCAGTAATCTCGATATCTGTAATAGTAAAAACGTATAATAGCTGTAGTAAAACGTATTCAAGAGAGTTTCACATGTAATATGTAGCTATTTCATATGCAAGCATGTCAGCCAATCACAGCAGTGGGCGGTTACATTGAATCTCACAGCAGACACGTCCCTTCAAACAGACCGTTCTAAGCAGAGGCTAAAATCAGGCTAGGAAAAATGCCTTTTATTTCTAAATAATGACTATTTTTGATCTAAAAAACATACTAACATTATAAGGGCAACCCAGAAAACATTATAAAATAATACAAAAACCCATGTCAGGGGACCTTTAAGTATATATACATATATAGCTGCTCTGGAGAAAACCGTGAGGTCATCATCCAGTTCAGTGTGACTTGTGTGAACAAAAGCCGCAATCAATACCGTGTCGTAATGATGATGCTGAAGCCGGGATCGTTCGGCAGCTAGTGAAACTGAACGTAATGCGCAAGTTTATGATTGAATCAGAGAGAAAAAACAAAAGCACAAGCATGGAAATCGCAAGCCCACAGTAGTCGATTGTCGAGTTCGCGTGTGCAATCATTGGTAACTAAGCAACAGTGGAGACTCAGACTGTCGCTCATGATATTCACAGAACACCACACAGCACCGACATCGGCTGACAGCAACAGTGCAGACAGTCTGAGTCTCCACTGTTGCTTAGTTACCAACGATTGCACGCGTGAACTCGACAATCGACTACTGTGGGCTCCGACCGAAAACAGGAAGTCCACGGAGTGGCAGAAACACTGCGGACAGGAACATCTAAAACAGGAAAGAGCTTTGAAATTGACTGTACAACAAGATTTGACAAGAATCTGAGGTATATTTTACAGACTTCAGAAAGCTAAAGAACAGAGAAGCAAACGGATCACAGAAACAACTGGATCCAGGCAGAGAAACGTGGATTTGGAGTTATTTTTTTTGTTTTGGAGTTTTAGAGCTGGCTGATATGATTTTATATATATATATATAGACTTATAGCGAGACTAACACCCTCTGTTGGCCTTGTTAACTTAAAATACACAACAACATAATACTGACTGTAAAAACGTTTTTGCTGATATGAACTGGCAGGGTCATTCTGAGACGTGTGCAGCAGCTGTACCTGTGATGGGTATCAGCACCCACGGGATGGTCTTCTCTCCGAGCAGGTTGACGCCGCGCTGCTGTCCGCCTGAGTCTGAGCACGGGCTGAACGCTTCTAGACTGCTCAGGCTTCCGGCCGTCTCCTCCTGAAACCACAACAGCAGCGTCAGACGCCTTTAAACACATCACTGGAGGAACGCAAACTAGCAGAACAATAAACAATACTTTGGCTAGATGTGAAACTAGCAACTGTTGTTGAAGTAAAGAACATCATAAAGTATTCAAACATCTGCTCCTGTTGTTCATCTTTACATTTATTAACTGTAATAAATAAGCCAGAACAATGGCTTTTCATATAGGCCAGCTTTGACTTTACCTAACTAGAGAATAATACATGAGTAGAGTTAAGATCAAGGTGCACACTGATCAACACGGGTACCTCGAGGCCGTCGGTCCTCCCGGGCTCGTCGTCGTGGATGAACCTCTTCCTCAGGTCGATGTCCCGGTCCGTGGGGAGGCCGAGTCTCAGCATGCTGTCGAACAGCGCGGTGTCAGAGATGTCGTCCGCCTCCTTCAGCTCGGAGTCGGCGGGGGACTCGGAGGAGGCTCTGGTCAGGGTGTCGATCAGCTTGATGACCTCCAGCGCCCCGTGGCTCTTGTCTTTGCGCAGGTCTGTGTCGAGACTGGTCTTCCCGAAGCTCTCCAGCATCTGCATGACCTTCAGCGCACTCTGAGACTTGTCCTTCCTCAGGTCTGTGTCCTGAAGGCCGACGCTGCTCAGGACATCAGAGAGATGAGGAGCAGACTCCCGCTCATCCGCTGACGAGTGAGAGAGATAATTAGGGCAGAATTAGGTCAATTATGCCAATACCCTCTACTAATACACGTTGAGAAACGAGCCATCACATTTTGGAAACATCTAAAAATGAGTGACCCCAAATCTTATCAATTTAAAGCCCTTAAAACCCATGAAATGAACCCTGAGAAGAGCCCGCTCGTTTAGCTGGTCCTGCGGCTCCACACAAACACTAACACCAGTAACCATCCTCCGCCTCAGGACACAGACACCCTCAGCCACACAATCCCAACCACGTCATACAAGCACAACGAGAGAACAAAGCAACCTTGAATGTTGTTTGGCCCTAAATAGAGACTACACCACCACAGAATACCTGAGTACAGTGAAAGGCTGTACATTAAGGAGGAGGATGACGAGGTACAGACTGAGCAATCACACTCTGAATGTGTGTGTGTGTGTGTGAGTCTTGGCCTTGATTAGCTGTTTCAGGTGCGTTTAATTGGGGTTGGAGCTAAACTCTGCAGGACAGTGGGCCTCCAGGACCGAGTTTGGACACGTCAGCAGGGACTTTTTACACAAAATTAGAAGTTTTGATACGGTGACATTAAAAACAAACACAGTAGAGAGTTGAATTCTGTATCCTGACATTAAGCACTTTGGTCAACTGTGGGTTTTTTTATGCTATACAACTATACAGTGCAAACAAGACTCTGAAATGACCCTTTGAACCGATGAATGTAAAATCCCTAATCCCGCCGATTCTCCGAGGCTCCTCACCTTCCGCGAGCTCATCGCTGGGCTTGCTCCTCAGGCGTTTGGCGGCTCCCTCGGCAGCGTGGAGCTCCCCCTTCCTCTTCTCCGCGGCCTCGGCCCCTGCGCCACCCTGCGAGCTTTTCTTGTTGAGCTGGATGAGCTCCAGCAGCTCCTGCACTCTCTCGGGGTTCTCCTGAGCGGTGCCGGCGTGGACCAGCTCCTCCACCTCCGCCTTCAGGCCGTGCAGGCCCAGCGTGAACAGGCCCGGGCTGTAGATGTAGGGCCGCAGGAACGGCTCTATGCTGGGCTTCTGCCGGGGGGCAGGGAACAGCTTCTCCCGCACGTCCAGCTTGGGGTCGTAGTCGGTGCGCACGCGCTGCATGGGCTTGCCCAGCCGCAGGTGCGTGAGGTACTCGCACACCGACTGCTGTACGCAGGCGCTGGGGTCGGCGGGGGGGTCCGCACGGGCCTTGCTCAGGGCCAGGTGTAGAGCGGACACGAACGAGTCGTGCTGGGGCATGACGGGACCCCAGCGCTCGGAGGACGCCGGCCGGCAGGGAGCCGCTGATGCACAGACACAAACATCATTAGTGAATAATACACTAACTATTAACATCAGAAATAAGATTATTGAGCTATTGCAAATATGAAAACGCAGATAGCTTCTCAAACATTGTGTCTAACTGCCATGTTTCCATTTAATGTTGTGAATTTAACTTATGCAGGGTTAGAATATGGCATACACCATCTGCTAATGAAGTGAACACAATTCAAGTGAACACAATCGTCACTTACTGGGAGATTCTGTACAAAAAAAAGAAAAAAGGATATCGGTTGCTGATATCGGGGAAGAAACTGTCTCTTTTATCCTCCATCATAAATGCCAGACGAAACACAATAAACGCTGTCATGTTTTCTTGAAATGTCTAAAATTATCATCTATAGATGTGCATATTGAGCTGGATGATTTTAGATTTTTATCCTATAATAAACATTTATCATGCTTCTTATTTGTATGTCTGATGGTGACTAACTTTCCATTCTAGATCTAACAATGAACCAAAATAAATTTGACCATCTAACCATCTAAAACACTTTTGAATCAATGGAACCCTTGGTCAATGGAAACTTGGTCAATGCAATCTTGGTCAATGGAACCCTTGGTCAATGGAACACTTGGTCAATGGAACCCTTGGTCAATGGAACCCTTGCTCAATGGAAACTTGGTCAATGGAACCCTTGGTCAATGGAACTCTTGGTCAATGGATCCCTTGATCAATGGATCCCTTGGTTAATGGAATTTTGGTCAATGGAACCCTTGGTCAATGGAACCCTTGGTCAATGTAATCTTGGTTAATGGAATCCTTGGTCAATGGAATCTTGGTTAATGGATCCCTTGGTCAATGGAAACTTGGTCAATGGAACCCTTGGTCAATGGAACCCTTGGTCAATGCAATCTTGGTCAATAGAACCCTTGGTCAATGGAATCCTTGGTCAATGGAATCTTGGTTAATGGATCCCTTGGTCAATGGAAACTTGGTCAATGGAACCCTTGGTCAATGGAACCCTTGGTCAATGCAATCTTGGTCAATAGAACCCTTGGTCAATGGAACCCTTGGTCAATGGAATCTTTGTCAATGGAACCCTTGGTCAATGGAACCCTTGCTCAATGGAACCCTTGGTCAATGGAACCCTTGCTCAATGGAACCCTTGCTCAATGGAACCCTTGCTCAATGGAACCCTTGCTCAATGGAACCCTTGCTCAATGGAACCCTTGCTCAATGGAACCCTTGCTCAATGGAACCCTTGCTCAATGGAACTCTTGGTCAATGGATCCCTTGGTTAATGGAATTTTGGTCAATGGAACCCTTGGTCAATGGAACCCTTGGTCAATGGAAACTTGGTCAATGGAACCCGTGGTCAATGGAACCCTTGGTCAATGCAATCTTGGTCAATAGAACCCTTGGTCAATGGAACCCTTGGTCAATGGAATCTTGGTCAATTGAATCTTGGTCAATGGAACCCTTGGTCAATGGAACCCTTGGTCAATGGAATTAGTGGAATGGAAAAACTTCAACAGAAGACATGCTCAAAAACTACAATGGAAACACATTTACTGAATAAATCTCTTGAAGGGCAACAATAAACTCAGCTGACTTTCCCTAAGTGGAGGCTGTGATTGGATTAGTGGAGCAACCAGTGGACCAATGGCATTGCAGCTTCTCAGATGCTGGTTTGGTGTTCCTGAAACACCGGAGCCGAAGTCTGTGATCAGTATGATTGGGTTTAATTCCCTCCAGAAGTGCCTCACGAGTGTGTTCACACGCGTTCTGAGACACAATCATTTATGATGGAGGGAAAAGAGCCGATTGCAGAAACTTACAGCGCCGGTTTCACAGGAAGTGATGATTTTGTTCTCTTGAACACATGGGAAGGAAACATTGCTTTATTTGCAAATGTTTTACACTATATTCCAACCCTGCATAAGTTAAATTCACAACTGGATGGAACACGGATACTGGTATTTGTACCAACTACTGGGTGTTTGTATGGTGATGACACTAAAGTAAAGCTAAAGTAAGATTAACTGTGTATGTTTGTGACTAGACGCATGATTCATAACATCTGTTTAACACCACACACATTTGAAGATAATACAATCACTTCCTATCACTTAATAAAATATGTTAAACAAATGTGCTTGCAACACTTTGGCCAAGCATTCATGTGTGTGTGTTTGCATAAAACATGCTTCTGGCTTTAAGAAGCTTCATGTGGATTTAACAGTGTACATGTCTCCATACTCACAGCTCTTTAACAGCTCTCGCTTCTCTCTGTAAATGAAAAGGGCTTGTATACACGACATCTTCCAGCCGCCTCGTCGCTCTGTAAAATCAAAGACATATGAAATATTTCAAAGATGGATTTGTGTTACACTGCCATTTCACCATCATTAGCTCATACCGCTGGAGTTGGCCATTTGACTGGAGGAGAGCAAGAAGAGGAACCCTCTGTCCTTCACCATGTTCACCAGCACCTGCAGAGACACACACAGTCACCTGACGAACAGAAGCCACACCCGAGCCGCACTTGAGCCGCACTCACCAGTCCCTGCTCCTCCAGAGTCTGCAGCAGAGCGCTCAAGCTCTTCGGGGACTTGTCCTTCTCCACCACGTCAAACAGACAGCAGACCATGCCATTCTTACACACTGCCAAAACAAAACAGACACAGTATATTTACACCAGGATATCGTACCTCTACTCAATGCAACTTTAACATCCCTACAAATGCGCAGAACAACAAGCAAACCAAACAAATAATACACATCACAACAGAACTACATCTGCTGTAACTCAACTACGTATCGTACTATATTGTGGACATTAGGGCCGCAATATAGTACAAAAAATGGACATTGCAGAGTCTGAATACATAGCGATATGAGAAAATACAGGCATGTTCACCAGATGACTAGAATAGTTATATTTGGAAAGAACACCATATCTGTATCGGCCGATATATATTCACTTTTAATGTTATCGTTATTGGCCCAACGAGACATATTAAGGCCAATCTATAATAATAATAATATATATAAGCGCATTGACAACGGAGTTACACCTTCATGACTAGCACAGACAAGTTTGCTTGTGCATTCACAGTCTTTTGTTGTAATTTGAAGTTTATTTTGTGTATATCATCTCATATAGGATGTGTTTGGTTAAGAATTAATGCAGTGGCCTCTGCGGAGGCTATTCCATTCTATTCATCCATGAGATCTGCATATTCTTTCATTATACAGAGGTAATGCTGTCCAATGACTTGCTTGCATTATTTAGGCATTGTTTCATTTCTTTGTAAGTCTCTCTCTCTCTCTCTCTCTCTCTTCAGTGTAAAATTGATTTTAAAAGTTAAGCAATCTTACACTGGTTCACTATAGGCTACTGTACTGTATATGTTTTATTATGTTGAAGCTTGGGACTACATTTAAAAGGTGAGACTTGTTTTTTTATAATCAGGCTCTCAAAAATTACATAAAAATTGGGATTTAGATGTGTTGGCCAATATAACGGTTATCGGCTTTAAAATGTAAAGAATGATCGGTATCGGTGAAAACGTTGATTTCAGTGCATCCGTAATCCTTCTAGGGCTGAACGCTTTGGGACATGGTTGACCAACAGTAACCCCCTTCAGGAACCATAACATGCGCAGAGTTTACAAAACATCTCTCTTCACAGGGCATATTCCCACAGTTCCTGAACAATCCAATATAAAACAACAGTAATGTCTGTGAAACCTTCGTGGCTGCCGGTGTAGATGCTCCAGGAGAAGAGTGCGGGCGACATCTTCTGCTTCACCTGCTGCAGACGCATCACGGTGCCCACCTCGATCTTCTCCGGCCTGAGGACACAGCAGCAGAGGGTCAGCGGGAACACAGGCACACAAGCGGCCGCTGCTGTCTAAGGGAGGACTCACAATTTGTATGGCAGGAACGGGCGGGAGAGCGAGCGAAGGCAGGCCTGGTACATATCTCTCCCCTGGTTCACGAAGTGCCCACGCCACACGGTGTAGCTGCGCCTGCCTGTCACACACCACAGGGAGGACCGTTAGACACACAAGCAGGACAAACACGTATGCCATCATCCCTTCCATACAACAACAGTTCATTAAGACTAAATTACAAAGTCCCTTTAAGGCTAGTCATTCACTCGGTGGCCATCTTTGAACTGTCAACATCACATTCACATTCTCCAAAGCTGTTAGCTAAACCTCATATTTGGTATCAATTAAATCTGACAACACCTGTCTCATAAATGTATGTATATATATATATATATATATATATATATATATATATATATATACACACATAATATATATATATATATATATATACACACACACAGTATATACACATATATATATATATATATATATATATATATATATATATATATTAGACAAATTTCACAATTCGATTCGATTTCGACTCGATTCGCTTCAATATTGATTATTTTGGATATCAGTTACAATAAATGCCAATTTTTCTCAAGGGAATCAAATCTCTTAAATGCTGTAAACTATGGGAGTCTAGTTGTAACCTATAGACTTCATTAGCCTAATATGAAGGTAATAATGAACTGTTTTGTAGCTATACAAACACTTAAATTACACTTTTATTTATTTTTATAATAAGAAGATTATATGAAATATAAACATTTAAATGGTGGCTGTCATACAAACTTGCCAGATTTATTCAAATATGCATTAAATATTGAAGAACATTAAGATTATAATGCATATGTAATATGGTGTATATATTTAGCAAAATGCTCCTCTCTAGAGTTATTTTTTTTCTAGCTGACTAATGAGTTTATGTGGGTTT